TGTAAAATGTTTGAGTTAATGAGAAGTGAAGCAAGTAAGTAGTTGCTTGCACATAAGCCGAACATCTGGTGAAGGGTCCTTACCCGATAGGTCGTGAAGCAACAATTTTGCTTCTAATAGCCCGTTGGCTATGCTCTCGACCACCTCGTCTTCACTAGCCATAAGACATGTCAGCAACCTTGCCGCTGACATTTTCTCCTGAAAAAAAAAGGATAAAAAACGAGTCACCAAAAACTTAGTATGCTTTCCTGAGTTTTGGCTTGTTTTATTAGCTGCTCAAACTTATAGTCCATATAGTATTTTTTTAGACATCTATTTTTGGAATTACCTCTGGAGATCCTTCCCTAAGTGATTTGAGAACGACTCTAAGAAGATCATTCGAATACGGATATATAAAAGACTTCAAATGGTATGCCACCGTGAAAAGAATCTGCATGCAAGCTACCCTAATCTCCGGTTCCACCATCTCCTGAAATTACAAAATTGGGCATTAAGGGGCAAACGAGTCTTTTCTACTTATCCTGAAAGCTGAATGTGACGACTAGGGTATGACATACCCCAACAGCACGGATAACAATTGGAAGAATTTTTTTGGTGAAGGGTTTCTTTCCAGTATCCGGAATCTTCTTGCAGGCGCTTATGAGTACATTAGCCATGCATAGTCGAAATGGGAGGCATGTATTTGCGTCAGGCGTACTATTGTCTCCATCAGATTTAATGAAAATGTCATCTTTATCACTCGTTAACTGATCCATCACATACCCAAGCACAGAACCTTTGGGAATGATTGCGCCTGCAATTGTACCATTTTTATGAGGAACAACGAAAACTAAGTTTGAATTATAATTCATGGAGTATCATAGATGTAACTCAAGAAGGTTAGTCTACCTTCTATTTTTTCTACCAAAATATCCTCAAAATCCCAAATATAACTCAATTATGTATTTATTTATTTATTTATTTATTTATTTATTTTTTTGGTTGGTTGTGTATTTGCAACACAATCGTAAATCGTTTACACTTGGTAATTTTATAATTATTCGATATATTAACATGACCATATTGTTAAAGTTTGAACCTGTTGAATACTCGGGAGCTCGAAGTTCTGTGCACAACATCAAAGCCAGACAGTCGATGCATCCGTGCTGTGCTTTAGAAACTGAAGACAAAAATACATAACAAAAGTACTTTCAGGGAAAAAAGTGAACTCAGCAAACAGCAGCATAAAAAAACTGATTACTTACTTTCATCCCCATCAACTGACATCCATGATAAAACTTTCCTTATCGTTTTCTTTATGCTACGCAAATCAGGATGCTTATAAACATCATCCCCTCTGACCTGACCGCATCATAAGGGGAAAAATATAATAATAATATTAATACTATTAATAAATGGTAGTAGATAACTAAACAACTTATGCAAAAGCCGAATACATGCATTCCATGTCAGACTTGATGTTGGTTGTATAACCTTACCATTAGAGACGTACACAAGGAAAAAAGGCAAACTTTGATCCTCAAAACATCCTTGGTGGCAGCAGAGGATTTCAACTGAGAAGCCAAAATTGGAACAAGAACCTGCATAATCACAAAATGAGTAGCATTATATTACAATATCTATCCCTGACTTTAGCTTAATTACGAAATGGATCCAGTTGTCTTTCCAAATTACAAATATTACATACAAGAGGTCTATAGTTATTAATTACCAAATCAATTAATGGGTAGAAATTAGTTAAGAATAAAGAAAACTAACTGGAATGATCAGTCTAGGGAACCTCCTAAAGTTAGAAATAAAATAGGCCATCAAAAAATAAGCACCAAAATAGTTTGAAAAGGCATTACCTTAGGGTGAATTCTCCCACATAGCTCAGCCGCAAGCTTCCTGACATCTTCAAATTCGGTCTTACTCAAAGCCCTAATTAAGACATTAATTATTAAATATAAATAACAAATTCTTTTGCGAAGCATCAAAAACTGGGAAGTATTTTTATTTGCCGGCAAAACCTGTTAATCGTCAAGGCAGCAATGCAATCGGTGGCCTCAAAGGTAATATGCCTGTCTTCAGAAGCAAATACAAATCAGAACACAAATAATTAAATATGCATAGACCCTTTCCAAGCATGCGGAAAGAGATAAGGACATTTCAGTGGAATCAAGGATTTCAAGAAGTGCACCATTGCAGAACGAGTTACTAAAAATCTGAAATATGCGACCAATTTTGAGTTTTCATTTTGTATGCAAACGCTAAATCTATTAACAATAGGAGGCGGTTGAAGGAAACTGACTCAACTTACCATTAACCAAATTGGCATAAGGTACAAAAGCTTAACAATGCGGATATCTCGATATAATATATAAAAGAAAAGTAAAATGTTTATGAAGTATCTTCTGAAACAATCTACATGGACGAGAAAGTTTACAAACAATATTCAGAAACATACCATGGATATCTGAATTCCTCAAAGATTCACCATACACAATAGGAGAATTGAGGTCATCAAAGACTCTTAATGGAAGCAGTCTGATAACAAGCAACGGGCAAAGTCGACTAAAGAGACACTGCTCCCGCTGCATCACCTCATTGTCTGAGTCAGTCATTACTTTCCCTTCTGTAAAGCAATCACCATTTCTACCCAAATCAAAACAGAAAAAAGAATATCAGTTTTAGAAGTTATGTTTATCCCTTCTGTTCATGTATTTGTTATAAAACCCAAAACAAGAAACAATCAGAAAACTAGTGGGCGGCCCATCGTCTCACCAAATGACCTACCTATCATACTTCCTCATCTGGTACTCTTTCTATTTCCATTTGCTTTTAACAAAAAAACCTAACTTCTCCGAGAATTCATTCATAAATATTCGAGAGAGCAGGCACTTAACGTACCAGAAAAACAGACCCAGGGAAATAAACTGACGTGCTTCATAAATGTTAATACTATGGGGTGGTGCCGGTTGGCGGTTGTTGAAAAGCAGATGCGGATACCAAATTAAATTAATAATAAGACACTTGGACTGATTCAAAGAAATATCATAAAATTAAAATATTTAAAATAAAGGGGATATCAGAATATAAGGTTACTCACTCTTTCTGCTCTCTCACATGAACCATCAGTCGATTAAAAACTACATCCACGGCATCAGCCAAGTATTCACTTATATGACTGAGGAATCTGACGATGACAGCATTTGATGGCTCAGCAAACATCTTGTCTATCAAGGGACCAGCTATATTATGCCAATCTTCAACCTGGAAATTTCCAGGAAGAAATTTGTGGCGTAATCAATAGAACTGGAAAATTGAAAAACAAAAATGAAGGAAAGAAAAGACAGCAACCAAATGAGACAGAAATCTTAAAATTATAAAGCTTAATTATATGCAAAATTGTGTGATTCATCATGGTTTTAAAATGTGTACTGTAGCCAACCTGGAGAATTCACGTGCCATTTACAAGGTCTTCCAGCCACGTCGAAGAATCAAGAGAGGAGGAAACAACATATTGGTAATTAATGCATATCAATCTTCTCCCTTTATATAATAAAAAAAAAAAGTATCTGAAATATTTGGTTTCAAGAGTTCTCTTTTTTTTAGTAGAGTTTGCAAATCTTGTTACATCTGGAAAAAGAAGGTCTAATTTACTCAGAGATCAAATTAAGATTCTGGCTTCAAACAAGAATCATGATGTAAGAATATGGGCACTGTATATATTACAGTGAGATTAAGCTAATCAAGTATGGACATCATGAGAGGCAGCTACCAGTTGGACATTTCAGATGGATATGGAAACAGTTTATTATCAAGCATCAACCGTAACGGTTAACTTACATGAATTGCCCATTCAGAAAGCAACTTCAACAGCTTATCGGCATCTACAGCTGATCCTATAATGAAATGTCATAATAAATCGTGTTAAGTGACGAATAAAGTATATAATCCATACATGGAAAAGGCAGTTCCTCTAGTTTCTTTTCTCCCTTTGTAATCCTTGATTGGGATCCACAGTGGGAGCACTATAAATGGAAAGAGCAAAATTTCCATATGATGAAAATAAATAAGGAACTTGAAAGGCTGGAATGAGAAACTCTGGAAGTTATCCACAAACCTTCTTTTTTGCCAGTAGAAGCACCGGAATTTGGGTCCTGAGAGATTTTGCTGTACAAGATAATACATAGACTGTGTCATCACTCTGTCAAAGCTGAAAATGTAGAAGAAATTGATAATGGAAAAGGGGATATTTTATGTGTTCTATTTTCTGTGGTCCAGTAAGTAGCATTATAACCAAAATATTCATGGAACTCCTATCTCACAGGTATAAGATACTAAAAAGTAAAATAGACAAGTTAAGTAACTCATTTATCACAGCACCTAAGACAGTCAAGCAGTAAACACACGACTTCTGGTTTCTGTTTATGATTGACCAGCAACGCCATGAGAGCATTACGTGCCAATATTTGTATGCTTTCTTCACTTGAATGAATTAGTTCAACGAGCGTCGGTAAAACCAACATTGGATCTGTAACAGTAAGTAGAATTGATCAATACTACATCAATTTCTAAATGCACCAGGTGCAAAAAAGTCATTTTTATATTCGTGACTCCTAACCTAACATTAATAAGGAAGAACCACACACCATCCTAGTGACAAAGACAAGGTATATGGACCATGTATACAAAGGAAGAAACATTTATCATGTACTAATTTTCTGTACATTTTTCTGAATCAAACTAACCAATCTTGGGAATCAAATTGGCTGCCTGGTTTCGCACACTCCGATCTTCATCTTCAAGACACTCTAATAAGTGATTAGCAATATCCTTCCTGAAACATTCAGAATATTAACACATGAAAATAATTAAAAGAAAGAACTGTTGACTATCATAAAAAGCGTAAACAATCATTTTATTTACAAACCATGCCGCTTGTGGAAGTGCATTAGTTGCCCCAGAGGATATGTAAACGAGATCTGCTACAAAATCAACAACATTTCTCCTTTGGGCAACATTTGGGGAGCCAATGCGCTTTAGAACTTCATAAAGACAGTTCCGGTCTGAACATCTGTAAATTAATCTGATTAATAGTTACAGTAGCTTTTGCTACAAAATATACATTAGATGTGACTAACAGATCTTACACTGAACAATATTCGGCCAGCAGCTCTACAATAGCTTTTGCGGCGGTATCCTGTTCCTCCAAAAAATTGAGCAGCATTGGAAGTAAAGCATCCATTTGTCTACCGTTATCAAGACTTCTTCTGGATAAAGTATGATTCGTTCTCCAGACTACAGATTTGAATATGCTAATAGCTCCATCAATAACTTCCGCATCAGTAGACCGTAACTGCAGAACATCATTATTGCTTATGTGAGATCTTAAATTTAGTATATCTTAAACTAAAAAGTTCAGATTCATACTACCTGAGACATGAGCACTTGAGAAATTTGAGATCCAAACTCTTCTATTGCATTCCCGAATTGATGACTATCTAGTCTACCCAATAAAAGCAAAAGACAGTTCAGGAAAAAGTTGATGGTATCCGATTTGCTGTTTCGACCATTATTAGGATCTTCATCTTGGTCATCAGCATAAAACTGCAAACATTAAAATACGAAGAATTAAACAAGAACTAAAAGCCGCAGTGCACTATATTAAATCAGCAGATACTCATGTGAAATCTTAAAGTTATATTTAAATCTAAAACAAATTTGAGAAGCCAAGAGATTTAGAACCGGATATCCTATTTTAATTCACAATCAGCATATGGTCTAATTTTCTTTTACAGGTGTTCCACGTATTTGAATTTAAAAAGAAAAAAAGGTCAAAAGGGAATTCTCATAAGCCTCAAAAAATGCTACTCTACGCACAAGCTGAAAATTTCAGAGATTTCAGCCACCAAAATTAGGTTGCAGAGTGTTTGCAAACAGTTACACTAAGTTGGTGATCTCCGGTGCCTAATTGGCCACCAAATATTTAGCATATAATATATACTTTTTGAAAGCAAAAGCATAAACACAAGTGTACAGAAAAACTTGAAGCATTCAACATTGCATCAGCAATTTCTAGGAAAAGCAACACAATCACAAGATTTACTTTGAATGAAGCCTCTCTTCCGGCATAAATAGTTGGGGCTTATTGTTAGAGTTATAGATTCGAGGGAAGTCGTGTGGTCCCATTGAGGTAAAGCGCACCATTAGACGGTGAGCCTAGGTGCCACCTACGTGAGGTTCCATTCCAAAACCAATTGGTGATGAGAGGAGTAGCCCACCACGCTTATAATATAGACACATTGTCCCCATAGAATCAATGTGGGATAACTCACAAGTGATATTCCAACACGCCCCCTCACTTGTGAG